CTTCCGATTCCATTACCAGATCCTGTGTTGCTATTGCTGTTTCCGATTCCATTATTATTGCCAACGTTTACACTACCACTTCCGATTCCATTATTATTGCCACTAGGAGTCGGTAAAGTAACAGACGCATGTGGAGTAGATGGACCCAATGAAACAGGAGACGCAGGTGGAGTAGATGAACTCAATGGAACATTACCGCTTCCGATTCCATTACCAGATCCTGTGTTGCTATTGCTGTTTCCGATTCCATTATTATTGCCAACGTTTACACTACCGCTTCCGATTCCATTACCAGATCCTGTGTTACTATTACTGTTTCCGATTCCATTATTATTGCCAACGTTTACACTACCGCTTCCGATTCCATTACCATTGCCACTAGGAGTCGGTAAAGTAACAGACGCAGGTGGAGTAGATGGACTCAATGGAACATTACGTTTATCTACTACAGCAGCATTTGTGAATGTTAACGATGTAAATACGAGTATTTCGATAAGAATGATGGAAATGGCTAAAAAACGAATTGGGTGACTAGTCGACAAACGTTTTGTTTTTGCCATTTTTCAATTTGCTAAATACAACTAATGATTATTTAAATTATGGATTTGAGATCCATTAAAGTGTTCTTTTTTACTTGTATTATTATCGTGAAGGGATCCTTTTTATTACAATTGATCTTTTATTATAACTGATCTTTTATTATAACTGATCCAGAATGTTCTTTCGTTATCTAATAAATAAATAACTCGATAGTTAAGATGACTTTTTGCATAACGATTTTTTCTTGACATATATAATAAAATATAAAAATCAAAACACGGCACCTATTAAATCAAACAATAAATATTTATTATTTTTGTTATTCTGTTTTCCGCTTTATTTTTGCTTTCCGCGTCCTATGTTTTGATTATTCAGTGTCAGAGCAGACCAAACACATTGACTGACGATTATCTCGTCGAGTATTTAAGATTCTCGTCAAAAGAACATAAAAGTATCAAGAGATAAACCTGGACTCAGAAGCAAGAAAAAGTGAATGCATAAAGGCGTTGCTTTTGTTTGAAAAAAAACCTGTTACTAACTATACGTACTAGCTATAATAGCATTTTTACTCAGCTTAGGGCAGTGTAATTATACATACAAAAGAAGAAAACATACATTTCATTTTTCATGCATCATTATTTGTTACAATAAGTTCCTTGATCCAAAGTGGAGTTGTTCTATTTTGTATATATGTGAAAAGCCCCTTTATCTTCCATAATTATAACGATAATAATAGAAAACAAGTTTTTTTTTTAATACTAATATATCGATATCTTTTTCTGAACTACGGAATTACTATGTACGATCTATCATACGACCTATCGATGTATGTATATTTATGCTGATTATCGTTATGAAAGAAAGGCTGTGCATTGTCTAGACAATCGATATTTTTAAGCCACTACATTGCGATAGCGATAGGACATTTAATGTTGAATGTTAAAGAAGTCTAACGATCAAAGATAATGTTTTTAAAAACACAATAATACGTAGCAAATTAAGTTTCAAACTTTTCATTAGGAAATTATGCTATTGATTTTTTAGGTAGAAAATTCAATTTTTAATTGAAATAAGCATAATTTAGTAATTGAAAAATTTGTATTTATACATGTACAAACAAACATGTGTGAATCAATTACGTAATCTGTTTAATCCTATGTCACAGAATTCCTCATATAGACACGAACTACGTATCCCGTTACTGTATTAAGATTCTTTCTACATACTATTTTGCTGCCATGGACCAAGTGTTGTTTCTATTTTGTTTTTGACAATGACGACGACATAAAAGATTGAGTTATTAATAAAGATAATCTAACTAAAGAACCTTGTAATGAATTACAATACATATCAATATGTAATGATTCGGGCTAAAGTACTTTTCAAAGACCTAAATATTTCGGACTTTGAATTATCATACAAGTCCTAAAGTGTCCTAAATGTCCTAAATCCTAATTTAGAAATTTTTTACAGATCATTTAGTGCTAAATACTTTAGCCCGAATCACTATCGATATCGATATGGGAAAAAACAATGTACCATCGTTATGTATAACGGGTTTAGTTAAGGTAGTATATATCCAGAGACTTTCATAATTATTGCATCATCCTTTGTATTTAAAGCCTCAAAACTAGTAATTTTTTTCGACAACAGATCAGATTAACCACATCATCAGCGCAAAATTCATCAAGACCAGATTTTAATTAGTAAAAATAATTTGACTACATGTGTTATACATGTATACGATAATTTTGAACTACGTAATAATGGGGTGACTATAATCGTTAATTGTGCAACACACAAAAGTCCAATAACATGTTTAACGTACAATAGCTCGTTAGAAAGCTGAAATCGTAAGCTTTCAAACGACGTAAAAAAATATGTCAAACCCACCCAACACTTGCAGAAATTGCCAAATTACAGATTTTGAGTGTGACGAGATAATCAGTAGTTGAAAGTGTGGTTTTTCCGAAAAAGAAATTGAAGAAACTCTAGGACAACCCAAATCCACAGTTCATAACGTTATACACAAGTATAAAAAGTTTGGCCGAACCACAGTTGCTTTCCGACGCGGTAGACCACGAATATTAAATTCTAGAGCCACCTGAAGGATAATTAATATCGTAAAAGAAAACCGACAAGCAATTAACGAAGTTTGGAAGTTTCTAAAACCATGCGTCGTAATCTTCATGAAAATGAGTTTTTTGGTCGGGTTGGACTAAGAAAACCTTTTATATCCAAAGAAAACCGTCAAAAATTATTAAAATGGTGTCTAGAGAGAAAAGATTGGGTTCGTGAATGGGAATCAGTAATTTGGAGTGATGAATCAAGATATT